GTCTATGATGTAGAGTGTAGGCTGTAGGACTATAACCCTAAACCCTAAACCCTAAACCCTAAATATATCCCTATATGCTTTCCCAGAATACCCTTGCACCACCTCGGACCTTAAATATCTATTGTAATTCCTGAGATACAGGGAACCTGAGGTGGTCCAGGATTTCCTCTGTCAACAGTAGTCCCCGTATTTGCTCCCCACTCCACCTCAAAACGCCAGTAGGCTTGAGGTTGAGAATTCATGGTTTTAGGCTTCGCAACACAACCCATACGCACACTGTGTAAGTGCGCCCATGTACATGCAGGCCCTCATGGACCCATTGTACGAACCCCTGAACCCTGAAGCCACACGATTTAGAGTCTACGGCTCGCAAAACCAACTCTCGAAATCCTGAAAACCACCTCCAGAAAGGTGCCCTGAAGGACCCCGCAGTTAATCAAAATTCCTAGCCATCTAGAAAACAGCTTCCTCTATGTTTTGCCTACAGGAACCCTAAATAACTTTTCCCAAGGACCTTTAAGTCACCCGCTATAAATCTACGACCCCAAAAACCACCATATAACCTCAGTTCCCATTTATTTGTTACATTGTCTTTTTGATTTGAATGTCAATTGTGGTACCCCTGTATATCTCCATATGTCCCCTCAAAATGTCGGCCGAGTTTCGACACTTCTCCCCGCAGGTCGGATTGCTGCCTTCTTGCACCAACGTGTTTTTTCTTGCAGAGTGCTCAAAAAGGCAACGAAAACGGCAGGTTAGGGATTAGGGTTTGCTGGACACCCCACCTCCTAATCAAGACGCGGCTTTAGGATTGAGGATGCTTGCTTGGAGGTTCATGGGACTTAGTAACTACTTATAACTGGGCTTATAACCCTACTTATAACCTCCCTAAATGGCCTTACAGGGGTTACTCCAATTATAAGTAGGGTTATAACCCCCAGTTATAAATAGTTTCTAAGTACCATGAACCTCCAAGTGGGGTCTCGAGTTTCTGACAGCAAGGGCATGTTGGACACCCCCCACCTTCTAAATAAGGACTTCTAGCAAGAAGAGGATGTCATGATGTGGGACGCTCAAACTCTTAAACTAGGATAGCTGTGTGGGTGCATATGGATTCTACAGAAGTGTATAGGGATACATAGGATGAGTCCCTTGCTTACATAAATGTGCTATTATCTTATAAATATAAAACGCAAATCGCACAAGTACAGCTTATGCGACTAATAGCCACACTTATCCGTGTAAACCCCCACCTCTTCCTCGTAGGGTTTATGACAAGAGGATTTATGCAACATCACCCCACAAATAAAGGTCCTTGTCAATTGTATAGGCGCATAATCCTGAAAAGGTCCAAAAAAAGTGGGTGGCGCCAACCCTAAACCCAAAACCTTAAACTTTATGCTTGAAACCATGCGCCCCTTGTGTGCACTCTTAAGCCCGAGGCCCCCTACCTGGTCTAGGGTTCGGATTGAGGCTTGGGGGTTTCGATTGGAGGGTTTACCCAGACCCCCACAAGGATCCAAGAAAATGAGCCCCAATCTGAACCCATTACTACATTGGGGAAACTAGGGGATTATTAGGGGGTTCCATTTTGGGGATCCTTTAGGGGGTCTCTGTAAGGCAGGCACCTAAACCTTAGCCCTAAACCCGTTAGCTGGGGTTTGGTGGAATTGTTCTATTCCCAAAGGGTCCACATATACAACCATTGGGGAATTGGGACCCATAATTCCTTCTATAGTATGGTATTTTTGGGCCTAATTCCCTAATAGTTTATCTGGACCCTCTGGGATTGTATTTTTTAGGGTTTAGGGTTTAGGACGGCGAAGCAGGAACAGTATTGGTAATCCAAGGGTTTAGGGTTTAGTGTTTAGGGAACAGTATGGGCCCTACATCCTGCGCTCCTGATATCTGTATAGTCTATACCCAGCATATACACATACGCATGCTGTTTTAACTCCTTGTCGCTGCCGCTTGTAGCACATAACTACATGACCATACGCCCCAAAACCCAAACACCCCACACACCCCAAACCCTGAGCCCTGAACCCCAACTCCACACCCTAAATTAACTCCCACCCCCCAAACCCTGAGTTCCAGGGATACGTACCAGAAATACGGAGGCCCTAAACCCTCAACCCTAGCTGGACCCCAAAAGTATGTAAAGTAATGGCCCTTATGGCTGTTATTATGGGTTTAGGGTATTATTTTACATACTTTTGGGGTTTAGGTAAACCCTTACGTAATGAGCTCCGCAGGGTTCAGGTAAACTTCAAAGCTGTGTGCAGAGAAAGTGGCCATGCCGCGGCAGGCGCCCGTGGGCAAGCCGGTCGTATGCGGAGGCCGGGCAGAGAAAACGCTTTCGGGATGAAAGTTAGTCGGAATAACTATCTGTTGGGGTATATAACGGTATATATGATGGGGCCGTGATAATTGGACGCTACCATGTGTAAGCAATGTGTTGCAATATGAGGGCCCCTTGTACTCACTTGACCATGTGGTCTATGGACCCTTACAGTAGGATCGTGCGGGGACTTGAAGGAAAGTGCAGATACATCTTGATGCCGGAAAATCCAGAATCAGTCAAGCTTGTGACCTATTGCTTGACATGTTGTGCAAAAGCGGGATACCTAGCCTAGGAGTATACGAGTTGGGAACACAACCTCGGAGGCTTTGGAAGTAAGTAGAAAATTAGCAGCTAACAGGTCGAATGTGTGAGTTGTGGCCCAAGGTAAGATGTTTTGCTATCTGCCTGACCGATGTACGCAAAAGCATTGAATCAAGCTTGCGCAGTGCCTATTCCTTGTGTCCTAGCGCGGAGAGCCAAACGACCGCAGCATGAAGGTACCAGAGATATCGCTCAACTGGCGGACCCTAAGCCCTAAATCCTACGAACCATGGGCACGCCTCACGGATGTGATGACAGTTTAGGCTTCAAGTACCAGGTCTATCTACGATGGGTATACAAAGGTTGTAACTACAGTTTCTGGTAGCGTTTAGGGTTTAGGGTTAAGCGTTTAGGGTAGAACGCTCCTCCAGGTGAGCCTCCAGGTATCCGTAAACCCCAATCCCCAAATCCTGCACCCCTACACCGTGTCTAGCGGCACGATTTCAGGTCCCAAGTTGAAACCCTAAGCCTTCATCATAACCAACCCCCCAAGGATTCATCCCAAACCTCTAATCCTAAGCATCTAAGGGTTCATATTTGAAGGAAGTTGGGCCCAGAGACCATACTACATAGGGTTTTTAGGTGATTTTGATGCTTAGGGTAATCCTTATAGACCCTAAACCCTAAAAATTCGAGGCCGCGCCCTAATGCGCCAGCGCAGAACTTGGTTTAATTACGTCCCTACCCTAGGGCTCCCATGCAGTTCCTTTCTGGGCTTGTTATGGTTTTGTGGTAAGGGATGATCATATAGTACCCCAAAAAGGAACTACGTAGGAGGGTCTTGGCAAGCCAAAAACTCTTACATAAGCCATTGTCCAAATTCCTAGTATCCCCCTTAATAACCCGTATAATGCTCCCCTACATAACCCCATTTAAGGAGTTTTGACCCTAAACCCTAAACCTAAATACTCTCCTTTAAACAGCTTAAACCCGAAACCCTACAACCTAAATCCTAAACCTCTACAATCCCCTTTAAGGAGTTTAGACCCTGAACCCTGCAACCTAAACCCTAATCCCCCGTTTACCGAGTTCCTAAACCTTAAAACCTTAACCTATATAATCCCCTTACAGGACTTTAGACCCTAAACTCCCAAAACCTATATAACCCCCCTTGAGGAGCTTGGATTATAGCTCACATGATCCATAATCCCAACTCCTAGTATCCACCTTAAAAGCCCCTATAGTAGTCCCCTATATGATCTCCTATATATATCCCCCTTTGGAGTTTAGACTCTAAACCCTAAACCCAAAACCCTAAACCCCAAATCCTAAACCCTGAGCCCTTAACCCTAAACCCTAAACCCTTAACCCTAAGCCCTTAACCCTAAATCCTAACCCTAAACCCTAAATCCTACATGGTGGTTCCCGAAAAGAGCCTTCGAGATGCTCGCAGTGCGGAAACGGACAGCCCGGTCCTTGCTCACCCTGGAAGGCCGCTTGTCAGTGTCCTCCCAAAAAGGGTTGAGGGTTTAGGGTTTAGGGTTTGGGGTTTGGGGTTTAGGGTTGAGGGTTTAGGGTTTAGGGTCTAGGGGGTAGTATATTGGGGTATATAAATCTTTTTTGTACGGCATGATGGAAAAGAAAATGGAAGCCACTATAGTATATTGGGGTTATATAAGGCGTTTATAGCGAGTAATGGAAACAAGGGGATGGAAACTACTAAAGAAAATGGAAACTTCTATGGTATTTTGGGGTTATATTGGGGATTTAGGGTTCAGGGCTTGGGGTATAGACTTCAAGGTTTAGGGTTTAGGGCTTATAGGGTTCAGGGTTAAGGGAATTAGGTTCAGGCTTTAGGGTTTAGGGTCTAGGCTTTAGCCTCTTTCAGCAAGTAGCCGTCTGGTGAGTTGATAGCACAAAGGGATCCTTCGGTGGAGTTGGCAGGCGTGCTTCCCCCTCCGTGGACGTAACCTCAGCTAGCGGCTGGGTTTAGGGTGTGTAGTCCCCTTAAGCAGATAATAAAGGTACCCATTAGGGTTATATTGGGGTTATATGGGGATAATGGGAAAAAATGGAAACTACTACAATGAGGTTATATAGGTTTTAGGTCTTAGAGTTTAGGGTTTATAGTCCCCTTAAGCAGATTCAACTTGGGGTATATGGGGATCTTATTAAAACATACCCAAAGCCATACTCTATCTACTTAAGGGAGACTATAGGGTATGAAACCTCCGACGCACTGCCCTGAGGGCACGACCGGTGGTTGCACAGGAGTTTCAGACACCTTCACGTCCGGTGTGGGCCTTCAAAAAGGCAACAAATCCAGCTTTGGGCTGACGCTTTGTGTTTTTCCTTTCCAACCCTTCAAAGAAAGAGGCATCGCTAGGCCACCAGCGCTTCTTCCCCACCATTTGCCACATTCAGCGCCTGCAGCGCAACATTCTCAATTGCTCAATCAACGCGTTCTTGCTGTAAGATGCTGCAAGACTTCTTGAGGACCAGGCAGCTTCCAACTCCTTTGCATCCTCCTCCAGCTGCGCGTTTGGCGAAGTTGATGGGCCTCGGCTGAACACGGCCGAATGCAACTGTCCCAAATTCGGTCAGATTTGTGGACCCTAAACCCTGAACCTTAAACCACGTGGCCGTCAGCAATCATCACCGGCGTCATTGTTGTCTTCTTTGGATTGAAGATCTCCTGCCAAACCATCTTCCCGTAGACGTTCGCAGCCTTCCTTGGGTCGCGAAACCAGATTCGGTTGCTGTTAAGGAACTTAAATCACGTAACTCTGCTGAGGAAACCCGACTATATACCATATACCCATATTATGATACCCGTGAACCCTAGTATTTACTATATACCAAATTATAGCATCCTAAACTCGCAACCCCAAACCCTAAACCCAATTATTACTGTATATTCATATTTTGGTACCTCAAACCCTAAACCTTACACCCTATTATTTACTATATACCCACATTATGGTACCCTAAACCCTCAACCCCATTATTGAATACATATATATACATATATACCCACATTCTGGTAATCTCATTTAACTTCCTTAACAGCAACCCAGCAGTCATACGGCTACGCCCAGGCTAGGCCTGCGTGGGGTGTAGAGGTTTAGGGGTTTAGGGTTTAGGGCTTTTCAGGTTTAGAGGTTTAGGGTTGAGGGTTTAGAGGTTTAGGGGTTTAGAGGTTTAGGGCTTAGGGTTTAGAGGTTTAGGGTTTAGAGGTTTAGGGTCTTCAGGTTTCAGGTTTAGAGGTGTAGGGTTGAGGGGTTTTGGGTTTCGGGTTTAGGAGGTTTAGGGTTTTGGGTTTAGAGGTTCAGGGTTTAGGGGGTTAGGGTTCAGGGCACTGAATCGCACCCTGTCCCTAATGACAGCCACAACGACACTGACGACAAGGACGACAGCAGCTACTAAGACACCACTGTATCACTTATGCAGAACAGTAGTGTAAAATTAATGGTAAGAACAAAAATAACATGAATAGTAACCACAGTAGCAAGAAGAATAATGTGAATCATCATGACAATAATAACAAGAGTTTGCTAAAACATCCCTGTATCACTCTTTGGCTCGGGATTCTTTGTCGTGAAGCGAAGGTCATTGTAGCAACAAAATGTTGACTCAGGCGTTTCTAGCCCTACACAAACCATTCACAACAAGTCCGACCAAAGCATACCTTTCAACTGATGCGGCTGTTATTGATGGGTAGAGTTTAGGGTTTAGGGTTCAGAGGAAGAATGGCTGGGGATTCGGTTGAGTGAGACATTGGAGCCCTGTTCACGTCGGCTTGGGGTGTTAGGTGCATACATGGCACTAGTGTTTCGTGATTTACCTGCCTGGACCCTAAACCCTAAACCTTAAACCCAAAACCCTAAAACCTACACCCTGAGCATCCCAGCTTTCACGTCATGTTTCATGAGATTTCCATGTGAGCTACAGACAGTATTTCAGAATTAAGGGACATGGGTTCCTTCTTCGGGAGTATAGTGGGGACTATATTCAACTACCAAAGGGACCCCTACGTCCACCCTTCGTGGTGGATTGGTAACCCGAATATTGACAGTAGCTCATGTGAGTCTCCATATTCCTTGCAAAGCAGCAGGCCTTGGCGAGTAGAAAGAAGACTAAGTATCTTTGAAGCGAGCATCAATGACAGAAATACAAAACTGTCAAAGGCTACACCCCATCTCGCATGTAAATTCGGGTTTAGGGTCCAGGGCTTAGGGTTAAGGGTTCAAGTACACAATGACCGAGGACTTGGAAGTCTGATGCTTTGTAGGACCAAATAGTTGGTTTTGTAGGTACCCCATATGTTCCGGCCATATTGTATTAATGACTTCAAAAATGACCATGATCTTGAGCATCTTCCACATTGAGCTTTTTCCTAAACCCTCAACCCTAATCCTAAACTTAAACCCTCAACCCTACACCCTAAACCAAACGGCAAGTTAGTAGGGAACCTCCACTACAAGGAAGGAATCCTCAGTCCAAAACGGTCAGCGCTTTCTGGGGACGAGGCCACATCGCATGGGGTTTGGGGTTAAGGTTAGGTGGACCTCCCCACCCAGTAATAGTGATTATGTGGCATGACAAGGATTATATTAGGGGCCTCTCATATTCCTTTCATACAATTCTTTCAGGGTGGGGAGTCCTCCTAAGGTTGGGGTTCTGCAAGCAAAGGTCATACTGGGCCAGCCCCGGTTGCGTTGTGATCAGAATGGCACGCCAAAAACATGCAGGCTCTGTCTGGCAATATGATTGAGGAACCACCCTAAACCCTAAACCCCTAAACCCCTATACCCTAAAGCCTAAAAGGGTTTAGGGTTTAGGGGTTTTGGGTTTAGGGCAGAACTTCCACGCACTATTTACTCCAGTACACGCAACACTAGTACTAGCACTACCAAACCAACACTACGACGAAGACGACCATGACAACGACGATGACGACGATGACTACACCACCACCATCTTCCGGCATACCTAATAACAACAATACTAACAGTCAGAATAGTAGTACGTAATACTAGTAACAATAAAGAGATACAATCATAAACGCGAATTCAATTTACCAGAACCTTTCGATGTCACTATTAATGCTTTAGCTATTTCCGTGTCCATCCCCCTTCATGTTCCTATAAAATCCCTGTAATCTATGTGTCCCATTTTTGGGGCAGTGCCTAACCCAAAATCTGTAGCCTTCTCATTAGACCTAGAACAAGAAGAACATGTTTAGTAATTCCTTAGGGTTACATTTGAAAAGACTTAAGAATAATTCCGAAGGACACTACAGAAGTATACCCTAAACCCTTAATCAAAATCTGCTAGGGCCTTAGGGTTTAGGGTTAAACGGTTTAGGGTTTAGGGTTTAGTGCCAGGCGTCTTGAGCTGCCTCTCCGGAAAGGCTGACGCCGTCTTGGCTTGCCGATCCACACGCACACCTCGGTGCAAGGTGGTGTCTGTGCCAGAGAGCTGGGTGTCACCCCAAATATGTTAATTACTAGATTATGGCCTCTTATTACTGTCATGAATGGTATCATTACATGGCGTCTTCTGTCCCCCAGCCTTGTGTTGCTGGCACACGATGTGCCTGCCTCAGCGAATGCACGCTCGGCCGACGAGTTCATGCACGCTCAGCCACTGAAACACAGAACCAGACATGGCATGCAAAAACAAGCTGCGCAGCGTTGCGTTTCAAGCAGCGCACGCCGTCTTGCATGATACTTAACCGAGAAAAATACCAAGGAATAGTCTGTCAAGCATGTTGCTGTCTGCCGAAGATGGGGATACAACAAGAGGAGCAGTGGAAGTGAGGCAGTCAGCCAGACATGTTACAAACATGCTGCCAGGCAGCATCCGCTGCCAACGAATCTGCAGGGACCCAGCACAGTGGCTCAGAACAAACTGCGTTGAAGTGACAAGAGTATGAAAGATCATAAGCGTAATAAGATGAATACGATCAACAATAACCACAATAGAAATGACAATGACAACAAAAAGGCTTGAACATGAAATGGTAATAAGGGAAGCTAACAATTTTCCCGTAGCACCACCCAGCAACACATTTTTGCCCTAAACCTTAAACCCCAGACCCTAAACCCTAAACCCCAGACCGCGGACCCTAAACCCTAAACCCCAGACCCTAAATCCTAAACCCTCTCGGCCTTCTTGGCCTCCACTACGGCCTCCTTGCGCTGCTCTGCCCAAGCACGTCCCTCCGAAGGTCCTGGGAGCTTCGTCCTGGCATCCCTCCCTTCTGTTGCTGAAAGGAGTTTAGGGGTTGAGGGTTTAGGGGTTAAGGGTTTATGGTTGAGGGGTTGGGAGTTCAGGGTTTAGGGTTTATGGTTGAGGGGTTGAGGGTTTAGGGTTTAGGGTCTCACTAGCAGGAAAGGAAGACATGGAAAAGAAACTGGAAATTACCACACTATTGGGGGGATAATGTAGGAAGTATTGCAATTAGGAGTTAGACATGTACCCCCCCCCAAATGTACCCCCCCAATTTAGAACCCTATTAGGCCTTATTGGCTCCTTAAACCCTGGGGGGTGGAGGGGGTTGTATTGTTACTCCTACTACAAGGATCCATTCCTACTCTCCTCGCAAAGCCGAGGTAAGCTTACACGCAGTGGATGCCTTGAAGCTTTCCATGTTGGGATAAAGCTTAGGGTTTAGGGTAGTGAAAGAGGAGATAAAAGCCATTGTGCAAGTCACAATCTTTGCACACCAGGGCCTCTTAACGGTCTCGCTGGAGGTGTCAAACTCCACTTTGGGCAGAGGGACGGCTTCCTCAGTACTGCATCTTGACAAAGCAAACCACGCACACGGTTTAGGGTTGAGGGTTTAGGATTTAGGGCTTGGGGCAGGCAATCTCGCTAAGCACTCCTGCTTACACCAAGCAATCCTGCTTCGCAACAACGGTTATAATATAGTGCATAATAGTGTAGTATATTGTAATCTAACATAGTCAGTTATGATATAATATAGTATAATATAACACAGTAGAATACAATAGAATAATATAGTATATTATAGTATCTTATGGTATAACATGATAGTATAATATAATATGTTTCAATAATGTGCCCTTGCCCCGGCATCCCTGAGAAGCGAGGCATGTCAGATTCCACTGGCCATCGCTGCAATCCATGATTGCGTGTAGCTTATACTGGGGATGGCAGGGGTATATGGAAACTATATACTATTTAGGGTTTAGGGTTTAGGGTTTAGGGTTTTGGGTTGGATGTATAGTCCCCGCAAGTAGATGGAATATGGGGTACTTGGGGATCTTATTCTCATCTGCCCATAGCCATATTCTATCTACTTACGGGGGGAGTTATATACTTATATCCACAATAACTCAAAAAAACACCCCAGTTATCCCTGTTACTAAACTGCTTACTAAGTCCCCCCTACCCTCAAAGCAAGGAATTCAAACCTAGGAGTTCGACATTTCTTTGTGGAACTCCTTTCCATGTAGGCCAAAATGTTATTGAATGTAGGCTTGTCAGGCAAGAGTTCTGCACCAGGTTGGCATATTACGAAACTCGCGTGTGAAGTAGAATATCAACTTTTAATGGCTATAGCTGCTTATAAACCCTGAACCACGTTTCTGTAACCTGGTCATTACTTACGCGTTTTCCCACCTGAGCTCCGCATACCCAACACGACAGTAAGCTTTAGGGTTAGGGTTCAAGGTTTAGGGCAGATGCAAGATATACAAAGGGCGCACAGCGACATGGTACACGCTCCTAGGGGGAAGAGTCAAAGCCCCTGCTGCAGCCATGTCGAAATTATGCTCGCTTTTCGGGGTCCCTGTTCTCTTACAGCACTTAATAATTTAGGGTACCCTGACAATGCCCCGGATATGTAAAGATCAGCAGCCACTTAACGTTCGATGTCATTTGTCTATTTGTTTCTCCAGTGTTCATCCTATCTACCCCCTAGATCCCTGTACAACCCTAAACCCTACACCCCTATACCCTAAACCCTGAACCCCTATACCCTAAACCCCTATACCCTAAACCCCTATACCCTAAACCACTAAGCTAAACCACTAAACCCCAAATCATAAACCCCTAAACCCCTATACAACCCTAAACCCAAAGCCCCTATGCTCTAAACCCTAAACCCCTATACCCTAAACCACTAAACCCCTATGCCCCAAACCCTGCAGCCCCTATACCCTAAACCCCTATACCCTATACTCTAAGCCCTAAACCCCTATGCCCTAAACCCTAAACCCGAAGCCCCTATACCCTAAACCCCTATCCCCTAAACCCCTATACAACCCTAAACCCGAAGCCCCTATGCCCTAAACCGTAACCCTAAACCCCTGTACCCTAAACCCTAAACCCCTATACCCTAAATCACTAAGCCCCTATACCCTAAACCCTAAACCCCTATACCCTAAACCCTGAAGCCCCTATACCCTAAACCTGAAGCGCCTAAACCACTAAACCCCTATACCCTAAACCCTAAACCCCAATGCCCTAAACCCTAAGCCCCCTATACAACCCTAACAGACCATCCTGAGTCAAGACTCCGCTTTGGTATCCACAGAAGTGCGGCGCGAAATTACAACTTTGAGAAACTTGTTCACAGACCTGAGGGCAGGGGTTTAGGGTTCAGGGTTTAGGGCTTAGGGTTTAGGGCTTAGGGTTCAGGGTATGAGGCTTAGGGTTTAGGGTCTAGGGTTTAGGGTTCAGGGCTTAGGGTTTAGGGTTTAGGGTGTAGATGAGTTATTACGGGTTTAGGGTCTAAATAGGGTTTAGGTCTATATAGGGTCTAGGGTGGTCTATAGAGGGTGCAAGGTCTATATGAGCTTCCGTCTGAACTCCTAGTTTGCCCGATACTAACCCCTATAGTACTCCTCTATATAATCCCTATGTAAATCAATATAACACCTTTCAAGGAGTTTAGCCTTACAGCTCTTAGTGTCTGGGGTTGAGGGGTAGTGCCGTTCAAGGCTTGCTGGCATTGCTGGCAAACTAGCAGAACGCAGTGCATCGGAAACAGAAGGAACTTCCGGCAAACACAGCTTGACTCTGCTTGAAGACCCTAGACCCTAAATCATAAACCCTATTTCCTAAACCCTAAATCCTAAACCCGCAACCCTAAACCCTAAACCCTACGTCTTGCGCCAAGCCACTTGGACTTCATTGCCAGGGACTTGCTTGCCCTGGCCTCGACCGGCTTGTGCGAATTGGCAACGCGCTTCTCCATAATTTCCTGGGAAGCAGTTAGGGTTGAGGGCTTAGGGTTTAGGGTTTAGGGCATAACATACAAGAATGAAAAGGGTATATATTGGGATTATATAGGGATAGTTAGGGTTTAGGGCTTAGGGTTTCTCCATAGTTTCCTGGGAAATGTAGCATACTTTAGGTGGACCCCCACATGCTGTAATAGTGGTATAAGGTTTAGGGTATAGGGTATAGGGGTTCGGGTGCTGGAATAGAATAGAAATATAAAGGCATAATATACTTTAGGTGGACCCCCCCCCCCACCCCGTAATAGTGGTATGGTAAGCATATAAGAGGACCCTACCGTTACAATTTCCTCATAGTCGCTATTCCTGGGCGGAGTTTACCTAGGAAATACTTGAACATCAGTAGAACCGCAGGCACCCGCAGGCAAAAAAAAAGCCTGAACCCTAATCCCTCAACCCTAAACCCTAAAACCCACCTAAACCCTAATCTTGCATGCGGCCAGCAATCTCTGAGCCTCACTCTCTCCTCTGGGAACTCATCCAAAACTTCTTTGAAAGATTGTGCCTCAAAACATGGTTTAGGGTTTAGGGTTTAGGATTTAGGGTTTGGGGTTTAGGGTTTCCATAAACAGGGGTCCCCTTCCATGTCCCAAAACAAGATAATCCTCTTCATAGGACCCCCCAAAAGGGCGCGTATTTTCTCAAACCGCCTTGAACCCTAAACCCTAAACCCTGTAGAATTTAGCATTCCCGTCCGCCTCAACGGTGTAGGCAACAATCTTGGTATGCGCTTTTACTGTAGCGCTGGAGGTACTTGAGAGGCCCAAGATGGCTACCTGACAGGGTTTAGGGTTTAGGGTTTTGGGGGTTTAGGTTTTAGGGTGTTTTGGGGGGTTTAGGGTTTGGGGTTTAGAGTTTAGGGTTTAGAGTTTTTGGGGTTCAGGTTTTAGGGTTTAGGGGCCATCAGGGCCCTTGGCTGACCTCACCCAGGAACTCCCCAGGACCGCACTCGGCAATATAGACGCCCTGTGACTCCACAATGGCCGTTCCCTGGTGTATCATCACCTGCATAGGGTTTAGGGTTGGGTCCAGGAGATGTTTTAAGCCTCCAAACCTTGTCCCCCAAACTTTTAGATGGTTCAGGAGTTTAGGGCTTAGAGGTTTGGGGTTAAGGGGGTTCCTTGCTCCCGAGCCGAATCTCCGGTTCTACGTATCCCCGCAACCCTAAAATATAACCC